TAAGAGTGACAGACTCAGTTAATCTGTGTGTCCTCACTGTCTCTACCCTCGTCCAGTGCATCAGCATGTCTACATTGGGATTAACCCATCAGCCTCCTGACAGATCTCCCTGCCCCTCCCCCACTCCATTCTCAGCTATGCGGCTACGGTAATCTTTCCAGATGCAAACCTAATAAACTGTTTCAACATAACATTCTTTCCAGTGCTATCAGTATGAAATACCCACTCCATAACTCAGTTTATGAGCCCCACACGCCTGGGCTTCTGCTTAATTCTCCAGTTTTATTTCTCCTGCCTCCCCCCACCAGCTTGGAGGATATATCTATACTGAACTTCTTGCAATTTCTGGAATATACCACCATGTACATCCTTTTCATATTCTTTGTTGTTCCTGAAATTGGTAAGTGGTTAAATCTCACTTACCTTGCAGGACTGCACTGAGATGTCGCTCGGATTTGGGTCAGATGGCTCCCTTCACCCACCATATGTAACACCCTGTGTCTCCCGCATCATGTCACTTATCACACGTGTTGGAATTGTCTCTTCGTTTGTCCGTATCACCCTCTAGTCTGTGAGAACCGAGGGCAGGTATGACGTCTACTTCTTTATCAGTACAGGCCTTGACACAGAGTACTCAGTTACCATTTATTTTTTTTTATTTTATTTTTTGCTGAGGAAGATTCGCCCTGAGCTAACGTCTGTGCCCATCTTCCTCTATTTTGTATGTGAGTCACCACCACAACATGGCTGATGAGTGGTATAGGTCCGTGCCTGGGATCCGAACCTGTGAACCTGGTCTGCAGAAGCGGAGTGTGCCAAACTTAACCACTATGCCACAAGGCTGGCCCCTCAGTTACCAGTTATTCACCAGAGAGTCAAGGAACGTCCTAGTTTAGCAGACGCTTGTCTTTCTTATAAATGTGTGAAGAGTGGGTGAGTGAGCAGACACCTTGAGACTGGTTGGTCTGTGGGAGAAGTCCTCATGGAGATATCCAGGAGATACTTGGGCACGTGCAAGGTATTGGGTAGGGCTGGACATGGAGATCTGTGATAGATTACTCTAAGAAATCGTGCACAATGGAAAGGGAGTTCAACCAAGGGCAAAGTACGGTGAGTAACACCATGTTTAATAGTACAAAACATGTTCCATTAGAGGAGTCTGAGGAGGAATGGACGTAGGAGAACGAGGCTGCTGCAGGGAAGTAAAGGAGGCATATTTCCAGAAGGAAACAGGACAATTGTGCAGAGTACTGGTGGGATTAGAAAGTATGTATTTTGAGGGATGAAGGCAGAACTATTTGTTTAATGAGAAATCACAGTTGAATCACAAATAGAGTTAATATTAACAATGTCTTAGACGTTTTTATATTTTAGATCTGAAATCCTTCAGGCGGTTCTGAGTTAGAGACATTTACTCATTGCAATGTAGAGTGTGTACCAATGAGCACAGGATATACAAATTCTGAATTCCCACAGACCTTGAACGTTATAATTTCCCTTTATTAACTTAAGTGAAAGAGTCTCTTTCAGTTTCTGAACCAGAAATTCAACTATTTCCAAAAAGTCATAGCTATTTTTTAACTTTTTAAAGAGGTAATTTAAATGACCACCAAGGAATTAATTTTGTTAAATTTAACCAAACCGAAATAAAACTATTCGAAGAATGAGTAAAGTCTATATCCAGTAACTTGTGTAAATTTAGATTTCAGCTTAAAGACATTTTCTGTTAGCCATCTAGGGTCTCCTTTTACGCACACACACACACACACACGCACAGAATGTCAGTCACTGTAACCTCTGATAGGTGTGGTGATTATAAAGTTCTTTTAATAGTGGAGATGAATCCCTGTTGGGCTACACACTCTTACCTATTTGCATTTGATTTACCTAATTTACCTAAAGATCTTTTGTGATGTTAAAATAAATGTTCTAGAGTCCAGTAATTGAAATGAGCACTGGCCTGCTTAGTTTAGCTCTGTGATGTGCTTCACTGATTTCCAATTGGAAATGCATGGGAAATACTGACTTTACAAAAAGAAAGGAATTCCCCAAGTGAGAGAAGCTTCCTCATTCTGCACACGAATGTTTATTTTTATAGGCTTGAAATAAAATATAATTACTTTTATTGCTAAATGTTTTCACGTAGGAAACATTTTGCTTTTATGACCTAATGCTTTCTGCAGTTACAGTTGAAGCTGTGGAGAGCGGTGTTTGTTGAGTGATTGCACAGGTTTCTCTCTGGAGTTCTGTAAAGAGTGAATTGAATTTAGAAATGCAAAGGACTCTCTGATAGTCTGACATTTTTGCAAAGATATAACAGCTTTTAGGTTTACTGCTGTTCTTTCAAATTTGTGAAAAACAAAGGCAATCTTACCTAATTTTTGGTTTTCCTTTTTTTCTTTTCTTTCTGCTTTTCTCCTTTCTTTTCTCCTTCTTTTCCTTCCTTTATCCCTCCCTCTTGCTCTCCATTTTTATTTTCCTGCTTCCTTTCCTTCCTCTGTTCCTTTCTTCCTTCTCTATGATTTAAAAGCAAGCAAATCTCTCAGATCTTTAATATAACACAAAACTCACTCTTGTACCTATTTTAATGTCCTGGGAACCTGCTCTATATATTTCATCTTTCAGATTTCAAGAGAACTTCTCTTTCTTTAGTAAACTGTATATATTTGGAAATAAAAATAAACTTCTGAATATAAGCACTCTCCTGTAACATGATTTAAGTGTTACTGAAATAATTTGTATTCTGTAAAACCAAACACTGATTTTGAACGGGCTTGTAGGAAAGCTAGCAATGGGGCAGACTATTTAAAAGCTAATTAATTTTATAATGAGAACACTAACAAGAGCAATAATTGATGGGTGGGGAGATACGTTGGAATTCCTGGACATGAAGCTCCGCATGGGTGGAGAATGCCACAGCACATGTTACAAAAGCAAAAACCCACAGATTGGAAAAGCCAGTCCCATTCTAATCAATGTGATACACCAAGAAATGGAAATGAAAGACAAAGTTAGTTAGAACAGAAGAAAGGAGAATAAAATTTCCAAAGGAATCTCCCCAAAATTAAAAAGCTAGAAACATTCATTGAATTTATCAAGGTTGTTTCCAGTAGCATTAAAAACATAAAATATACAGGAATATATTTAACAAAAGATGTATAAGATTTCTACACTGAAAACTATAAAACACTGTGGTGAGAAATTAAAGAAGACCTAATTAAATGGAGAGGTAAGTCGTATTCATGTGTTGAAACAGTGAATATTATGAGGATATCTGTGGAAGGCAGAATAGCAACCCCCAAAGATGTCCACACCCTAATCCTCAGAACCTGTCAATATGTTACGTGACAAGGGAGAGAACTTTGCAGTTGTGATTAGCTAAGGATCTTAAGATGGGAAAATTTCCCTGGATTACCAAGATGGTTCCAGTGTAATCACATGGGTCCTTAAAAGCAGAGAACCATTCATGGCTGAGGGTCAGAGGGAGATGAGACTATGGAAAAAATGGTCAGAGATACAACACCGCTGGTTTGAAGATGAAAGAAGGAGCTGCAAGCCAAGACAAGAAGCTGGAAAAGGCAAGAAATAAATTTGCTCCTACAGCCAGAGGGAACATAGTGCTGCCAACACCCTGATTTTAACCCAGTGAGACCTGTGTCAGACATCTGAGCTACAGACTTTTAAGATGATAAATTTTTATTGTTTAAACCACCAAGTGTGTGGTCATTTGCTAAGGAAGCCATATAAAACTATCACAGTATCTATTTACTTAAAGAAATCCTAATCAAAATCCTACAGGGTTTCTTACAGAAATTGAAAAGTTCATCCTAAAATTTATACGGAAATGCAAAATATCTAAGAGAGACAAAATTATCTTTAAAAGGAACAAGAAAATTAGAGACTTTTTCAAGACTTACTGTCTTTTATATGTACTAAGTAGATACATCCAGAAGAAACTCTTGCATGTGTGCACTGAGATATAAACTAGAATATTTATAGCAACATTATTTATAAAAACAAATAAATGACTGCATATGGCTTTCACTGAGAGAAGGTGAATAAATTGTGATATATTTGTACAATGCAATTCTGTGCAGCCAAGAAAATGAATGAAACTTGGTTAAACCCCTCACCTCTGAGGATGCCCAAAATTGCAATGTTAAGCCATGAATGCAAAGCACAGAAAACTATATACACTAGGATTTCATTTTTCTAAATGTCATCAACAGATGAAACTAAGCAATATGTTGTTTAGGGATTCTTCCACATGTAAGGTCTAAGCACATAAAGAAAACATAGTAATGGTGAGCCCAAAACTCATGATGGTGGTCACCTCTTTGAAATAGGAAGAAGGATAATTTTGGAGTAGAACACACAAAGATGCAGGGAATGACATTTTAAAAAGTTGAGTGCAGTGGAATTTATTTCATTACTTGCTCAACGGTACATATACATTATATATAGTCTTTATAAGTATGATATATTTTATAATAAAATATTAAAAATATATTAGTCTTTCATCAAATTGCTTCATTCCTACAACATGAGATTAAGTTTTTCTAATTCTCCAATGTGACTTTAGGTTCATATTGTCCACAGTGCTGGAATGAATGGACGATATCCATAAGTGTTCATGAATTGCTAAATTAAAACAAAACAAAACACACTATAACATATAATTCCTCCCATAAGATACCCTAAAATAAACCTGGAAAGTGTTAAGTGAAACTTTTCAAATCCTCAGTAATTTCTCCCTCATTTGAGAAGTAATTTTTGTTTTGAATACATTACTTGCTGAGATAGTTTGCATGTCTGTCATTTTTTAAGTAGGACCTGGAAATGAGCAGAGTAAAAAGCCTTTAGCCTGCTAGGTTCTGCTAAGGCGTTCTCACTCCACCAGACCGGAAGTGCCCCTTGAGGCAACGACTGTTTGTTATTTACTGATGAGCCTTCAGTACTCAGCACCGTGTCTTCTATGTCAATTATCTTTAATGTTTCAGACAAACCTGGTGAAACTTCTTTTGATGCATCAGGCGAATCCAAACCTTCTGAACTGCAATGAAGAGAAGGCCTCAGGTGGGTTATGCACGGTTCCTGTTCCCTTCCCCTGGTGTATAAGGCGTTCATCGTGAGCATAGCTAGGAAATGGGAGTCGGCCTCTCCTGAGAAGCCCTGTGAACACCACCGCAGTTCAAGCACGATTCACAGACTCCTATGCACCGCTCCGTGACAAGAGGGTGTTAGAGAGCAGTTAAGTGGATAGGGTCCCTTTGTACTTCAGTGCGATTGGTTTTTCCAGTTTTAAACTTCCAGGGCAATGATTCCTGCAGTGTCACTTACTTGAAAATATATTTTTGCTGTTATTTAGCTAGTTTCTCATCATACCAAATACATGCTTGTTCATTAGGATATTTTTAAACAATAATAGTATTTTTTCTGCACAGATATTTAAACTGCAAGAAATAGAGTCTAATATTCTCAAGCTAATTTAAAACTTTAAAAATCTTAGTTACTTTTTTTTAACAGATATCTTTTGGAAAATTTCTAGAGTTCTTTTTACCACTGTTCTTTTATATATTCATATAGTTATTTTAAAAATGGGTGCCACATTCATTTTTTAGCTTTTAAATTTGACAACAAAGTTACTACTTGTGTTATTTTTGGTGTATTAAAAATAAAAGAATTCTAAATAACAAAGAGAAAAGTCTAACATAAGTAAAAAAATAACAGTTTTGAAGGCAGTAATTGATCTGAATAACTTAATTCTACTTATTCTGCTTGTTGCCATGCCTCTACTAACCTACAAGCACTTTACACCCGAGATCTCTTATGTGATGCACTTATAGGAGTATGATTACCTGGTAAACCTCCAGTTTAAGACAGGATGAGGGATTTCCAACAGAAGATTACAAATAAAACTATAAGATAGCTTAATAGTCTCAAACTTTAGAATCAGGCTAATGTTAACATTATCTACAAAATTATGCCTAATGAAAGAGTAAATAGAAATTTATAGATTTTTTCCATCTTTTTTCAAAAATGTTTTTATTGAGAAATACAAGTCACATCCTCTAGTTCCAACAGGAGATCACATTTTTCAGGTTCATATCCCTGGCTTCTTTCCCAGAGAAGGGAAGACATGATTGACTCTTGACTGCATGGACTCCCGGGTTTCACCTTTTAGATTTAGTGTCAACTGTGCCAAAATTGACATCCAAGGCAATAGACAATTGACAATCCTAGAGCCCCAGTGAATGACTAAACTGCTGGTCTAGACTCAGCCCTGGTCACCTCGGACCTTTTTGTCCATGTTCGTCATGCAAAGTCTACCATCATATAATCCCTTTTCTGTGCCATGTTGGCATGAGAGACAGTGATGGGACCATATTAGACTCTCAGTAAACATTTGCTGATTGAATGAAAATACTTTTCTCACACACAAGGCACAAAGAGCTGTAGTGCAGTGAGAGGTTTCAAGTAAATGCAAGCTATACCAACATCCCATCCAACAGCCAGAAGAATGAATCAGACAAAAACAATAGTGCAGAGAACAGTGAACTAGGTACCCATATTATGACTGAGCAAATGAAAATCATCATCAATAATATATTATATTCTTGTTATTTTGTGTTTCTTGAATTTGGAATGGACATAGAACAAAATTGGGGGGATAAAAGCAGTTTGAGGTGTAGCTGTTAGGTGGGACAGAAATGATCTTCCAAGGTGAGGAAACTGAGCTGTCTCCTGCTCATTATGCGGATATATTTAATCGAAGGCAAATGATGATGCAATCATGGCATAAATATCTGCCGTGGTAGCTGAATTACCTCATCCAGCCTGTAAAGCCACATAATTCAAATTTATAGACACAGGTGGTCATGCAGTTTAGTCACGAGGATTAAAAAGGAGCAGTTGCCTCCATTAGGTTCTTAATTGTTATTAATGTGAATTTTTCTTTAGGATTTATCGATTTTCAGGTTCACTGTTAGTAATTTGTAAATTTGATTAATGCATATCTATATTCCTGCCCAAATATGCTCAGATGTCGATGTTAATGTGCAATTTGTAAGTTGACGTAATTATTTATATTTTAGATTGACAAAAACAGATCATGGAGAGAGGCTAGATCCACTGTTTTAATGGCACAACTGAGTATTTATTTGTCTATCTACCCATTTAGTAGACTGTTTATAGGATCCTCTGACATGTTTTTTAAGAGCCCAGTCATTGGGAAGGCGTGACTGTTGCCATCATTTTGATTCATGTTCACCAAGACGAAGGAAGAGTTTCCCTGAGAATAAAATGACACTAACTTCTCTCAAGCTTAGCCTCTCAATGATTTTACGTTTCACACATCACCACTCAGTGAATATTATTTTTATATTTTTTCATTTCATTTGTAATTAAATATGTCACTGATGTAAAACAAGATAGTGTTTTAAAATGGCAGTACTGCAATTTTATTCATACCATAAACTTTTAATGTTTTTCATTTTGTTTCATGTGTTGATAAATTTTATAATTTTAAGCATCTCAGAATTATTGAAAGTAAATATTTTCTGTGCTATCCTCACCCACTTTTTCTGATTTTCTTATTCTTTCTTGTAGATATCGCTGCATCTGCGTATATCCAGGAAATGCTGCTGAAAGCCGAAATTGCCTGGGAGGAAAAAATGAAGGAGCCTTTATCTGTTCCTACCTTAGCACAAGAGGAGCCATATGAAGAGATCATTCATGATCTCCCAGCACTTTCCACTAAGCTGTAAGTGCCTTCTTTCTAGAATGATAGAGTCACAGACCTTGTTCATTGAAGAGATAATTATTCTTCTTTGTCATCCGCGCTAGTCACCAGTCATTTTATAATTAGTATTGTCTGTCTCTCAACTAAAAGTTAGAAAATTGAAGCTGTATATCAACATATGTACCAAAAAATAGTTGTTTACAATAATGAGTTTAGCAAACTTTTATGAAAACCCTCTGATTTTTTCAAACATTACTATTTCAATTATTAGATCAATTTGTCACCATGAGACCAAAGAAAATATTTTAAACACACTCCACATCTTTAGCTAAACTGATATGTAAGGTTTCCAATGACTGTCATAATAGCTAAATTTCCTAAAGTAGCAAATACAAATATTCATTTGTTTTTCTCTAAAGTGTAAAACTAATGATTTCTTGTTGTCTAAAATGTCTCCTAAATACTGACACCTGCTATAACGAGGATGAACCTTGAAAACATTATGCTAAGTGAATTAAGCCACACACAAAAGGTCACGTGTTGTATGATTCAGTTTGTATGAAATGTCCAGAACCAGCAAATCTATAGAAGCACAAAGTATATTAGTGGTTGCCAGGAGTGGGGAGAGGGAGGAATGGGAAGTGACTCTTAATGGATATGGGCTTTCTTTTTGGCCATGATGCAAATGTTCTGGAAGTAGATGTGATGGTTACACAAATTTGTGAATATGCTAAAAAGCAATGTTGACTATGTGGATTATATCTCAATAAAATAAATAAATATATAAAGAAAAAATATTTCAAGTTGAAAATAAAATCTGCTACATAAAAGCCATGGGAACTTGAGGAAATTACTTTCTTTCTCTGAACCTGTTTCTTGTTTGGCAATGAAGATTATGTTTAATATTGGAATATTTGAGGGTGCCCTGAATAAATAGCACTATCTGGGTTCTGGACAGTCTGAGAAATAATCAAACAGCGAAGATGGAGGCCAATTACATCAAATCAGTGGTAGAGGATACATCAGGGGACGTAACTGAATGTGACAGCTGAAAGGGTTTATACATATTTCCCATTATGAAGCAGTTTTACCAACTAGTTCCAAGGCACCTGTAAACCAGATCAGGTCTCCCAAATGAGGGGCATCCCAGACAAGGCTCACAAAAGGTAGGAAGAGGAAAAATAGTGCTCTGTGCAGGTAGGCTCGCTCCAAGAAAAAGGAGATAGAAGCTAAGGAGACACTTTCCCCAGATTCATCCATCAGAGAATTCTGTCCAATTCACAGGTGTAGAGAGGCCCAGAATTAGCATAACTCGATTTCCCTTCCTGGGAAGTAGAAAAGATATTTCCAGTGAACGTATCACAAGGCTGTTGCGATAGTAAGTGAGCTCAAAGGGGAAAAAATCTTATTTCAGAGCCTGTCCCCTCACAGGCATTCAAAAACACTTTTAATTTAAAACTACTCTAGATAATTCAGAGGCTAAAGTTGTGCATAAATGCATTGACCTCTACTTAATAACTAAAATGTGTTCATTATTGCATTTGATTTTTTAACTGTGTTGTAAAGGAGCTTGATTTTTATGTAAGATGCTATGCTAAGAATTTCATGGATTATCTTATTCCGTCTTCAAAGCCCTATGAAAGGTCTCTTATTTTCCTAAGATCTCAGAGCTGGGCAATGACAGATCAAGATTTATAGCCCTGCGATCAGACCCAGATTATTCTCACCTATGCCGCATTATCCCTCTCATGTTTTCACAAGTGGGAAAAAATGGTATCACATTGATATGGGAGAAAAAGGAAGAAAGCCATAGAAACAAAAGTTGGAGTCGAGTCAGGAAGTGGTTAAATGCTAAGATACATTCCATGTGACCTGAAATTAATGATGAGAATGTTGTGACCTTGCTCTTTATGTGACTATACTGCTGGCCTCACTGGAACAAGAGGAGTAATACAAATATTTGCTATGGAAGAATTTTACCTTCCAAGTGTAGATATTAAAGTCAGTACTCAATATATTCCTTCTTACTTTTAGGATTATCTTCTGGGCTTCCAAGTAGAGATGTTAACATGTAAGCAGAATTAGCGTTTGAGTTAAAACAAAATTCTTTCATAATAAGTTATTTGGGATAAATATTAACTTCTCTATGTATCCATAGTTTCGTTTTTGTTTTCTGCTTTATTTAAAAAATAAAACACCGGCTGGCCCAGTAGCATAGTGGTTGAGTTCATGCACTCCACTTCAGTGGCCTGGGGTTCTCAGGTTCGGATCCCGGGTGCAGACCTACACACTGCTCATCAAGCCAAGCTGTGGCGGCATCCCACATACAAAATGGAGGAGGACTGGCACAAATGTTAGCTCAGTGACAATCTTCCTCAAGCAAAAAGAGGAAGATTGGCAAGAGATGTTAGCTCGGAGACAATCTTCCTCACACACACAAAAAAATAATAATAAAATAAAACAAAAACAACTAATTTACCTGAAAAAGTACTTTTTACTTTTTTTGATATTGCTGACAGGTTTTAAACAGATGAATCAATGACTTATTTGTTCTACAAGATGAAATATAATTATTTTAATTACATTTTTCCCTTGTTGACTCTGAGTAAAGCTTTGAAACTTTGCAATAAGTTTTATGTTGAATTTTGACCTGCTTTTCATTGTAGTCTACTGTTATCTTTCCTCAGAGATAGAATTGAAAATTAAATCAAAGAACAACTCAATCATAATAATAGGCTTTTTTTTAACTCTTTGAAAAAAATGACTAGTAGACTTGGCTTGCTTAACAACTAAATACATTTGTAAATTTTCTCTTATACTTCATGATTTTGATGCATTTTGTCTGGTTATTTTCATTGTCTTTATAGTATTATAAATAAATATGAACCAGGAGCAAATAGACATGATGAAATAACTAAGTAATGTTTTAATGCAGAAAAGTATACTTTTTATAATCTACTCTTTCAAACCTTGTTTTAGTATCAGAAGGAAAAATATAGACACTTGAGGACTTGTTTATAAACAAAATCACAAGCACAAAGCTTTCTCTAAAGCTAATCAATGTGCGTATTGTTGAGGAAAAAATAGGGCTTGTTGATTTTAGTGTATTTAATATCACAATGATCATTGACTTGGACAACAAATTTACTGAAACATTTTGGGACATTTTCAACATGCCGTTCTTGTGATAGAGAACATATATGAAGTGAATCAGAGAATTGATATAATGCACAAGAAAAATAAATGTATTTCTTTTAAAAATCTCTTACATCATTTACAAAGCAGCATTTCTTCACAAACCAGTTGTTTGGGAGTCAGTGGTTTAGACCTGGTGTTTGGGGAGGGTGGGTCTTCTGTCTCTCTCCTCTCCTTGACATTGCTGCAGTTTTCTGCAAATTCTTCCTTTCAATCTGTTTCCTTCCTTAAAATGAATAAATGCTGCTGTTGTGTGAAAGTGCAAGTTTCACTGATTTAAACCAAGTGCATTCTTGAATGGTTTGATAACCTGAATTTTAAATATGAAGCCTGGTCTTCCAGCTGTTTCTAGAAGTCCCTCAGCTTTAGGGAGGTAAAGGAGAAATTAAAACAGAACAAAAAAAAATCTAGGAAAAAGGGGAAAGAGTGAGAACAGATTGAAATATTCGGTCAGCCTTCCTCTGCTCCAGTCAGGAGCAAGCATTCTGATGAAGCTTACTGCTCCTTTAATTTCATTATTTTGCCCAAGAAAGAATAGTGCATATTCATTGGTATGAGAAGCACATACCTCTTCTCTGTGTAATCTATTGTTTTTCTTCAATAAATCTTTCCTTTTCCACCTTTTATCTCTAGCCCTCATTTGGAAGACTTACCATGTAGTACTTCATCTGAATTATGCTTGCCCATCTTTCTTCACCAATTTTAATCCCAACATCCTATTTCTTTTCATTCTAAAGTTGATGTTTCTGTTACATTTTCCCAGAATATATTTAGCTAAAATATTAAGAAATAATTGAGTGGGTTCCCCTTTCTAATATCTCAGCAAACAAGTCAAATTTCTTTTCCATTATCAATTCATATTTATTGTTCTGTGAGCATGTTTTTTTTTTGTGAGGAAGATCGGCCCTGAGCTAACATCTGCTAATCCTCCTCTTTTTGCTGAGGAAGACTGGCCCTGGGCTAACATCCATGCCCATCTTCCTCCACTTTATATGGGACGCTGCCACAGCATGGCTTGACAAGTGGTGCGTCGGTGCGCGCCTGGGATCCGAACCGGTGCTGCAGCGGAGCACACGCACTTAACCGCTTGTGCCACCGGTCCCTGTTCTGTGAGCATTTTTTTGCAGTAAATCATGATTTAGCCAGCATGAAAATGTCACTTCTGCTGTGCCCCATTGTTAGTAGCAACTGCCTATCTTAGGTTAAACATTTAATCGATAGGAAATTCCTGTATTATTAGGTTATCCTATAGTCCATGTTTTCTAAGATATCTTCTATCCAATGAACATTATTAAGGTCTCTATTTGTTGCCTGACTTTCAAGTTCATGTCTCAAAATGAGCAGGTTATATTTAACTCCAAAGGTCTTTCTGGCTGTAATGTTCTCTATCTGTAAAGCTTTTAGGCTTCCTCTCTTCTTTAAATTTGCAACAACTATTGTCATACTTGACTGCTATTCCCCACTCTGCTCTTTCTCTCCTGCTGGCTGGGGGCCTCCTCCCTGTGCTGACTTTTCTGTCCTTACTTGTATCTCAGTGCCTCACTCACTGTTATTGCGGCTAATGAAACAGCCGCTGCTGAATATGCCCTCTGGGGTTTGAATGTGGAAATGCTCTCCTGGGGTTTGTAATCACTGAGAAGTTTTGATAGGTGCCAACTTTTGTCTCTAACATTCTATTTCATTGAGTCTTTGAGTTGGAATCCACAAAAATTCTGCATAATGCCTAAGTGGAGTAGAGTAGTTCATTAAACAACCCTGGGTTTTCATTTATTAATAATAACAACAATGATAACAAATGATAGTTTGGGAGCTATTACCAGACATCA